GAATCCTCCGCTTGAACATGGAAAGATACATTGCCATATATGGGCCTCGCTGCACTGCTCTGGAAATCTGCAAAACGAGAGTGAATCTTGCGTTAGAATATGGAAAGATACACCGCCAATACTTTTGTCTTTTGTGCATGTTGAGAGTAGTGCAGCGAGGCCCTATGTCTTGTTGTGCACGTCGAGAGTTGTGCAGCGAGCCCGTTGGTGAACATTACCGTTGAGGTTCTGACAGGTTGGACGCGCCGGGCTTCACTCGTGCAAAGAGCTGTTCTTCCTTTACGTTTTTCTCCTTTCATTAAAAAAAAGAAAATCCACGAAAAACGGCTGCCTGTTCCGTCGTTTTCTACTTCAGAAGTAATATGAAGAGAACGTTTTGAGAGATCGCGACCCTCATCATGACTGAATCTGGCCTGCAAGAACCCTACCATACAGACTCCAAGTACCGTTGAGGTTCTGACAGGTTGGACGTGCCGGGCTTCACTCGTGCAAAGAAATTCTGATGTTMTTCCTTAARAAAAAAAATTCAGTTCCGGGGCCCCGCGCGGCCTCAAATTGTTGTTGTTGTTGTTTTTTGTTACTTGACGCGACATCCCACTTGAGCCTACAACACCCCGCCCCAACTTTTTTTTTTTTTGGCCGACCCCTTATTTTCGGGGTGCGTCGCATCCCGTGCGCGCGCGTCGTGCGCGGTGCACAGTGCGGTGCACGTGCGGGATGCCGCGCACCTCGATGCGCCGCAAGTATGGTTCAAACTTTTCTTTTTGATTAGTGGCTCCTTATCTGGGCGATTCTTCCCACCCACCCTCCCCACCTATGTTGTTGCCACCTCTCGCCCTACCTTCTCTACCTGTCTCCGGGTACCCCCTGCGGTGGCATTGGTAAGTTGCCACGTCAGCAGACTACGTCAGCAGGCCACGTCAGCAGACTATGTCAGCAGGTCACGCCAGCAGGCCACGTCAGCAGGACACATCAGCAGGCCAGCAGTGCCACGTCAGCAGCAGGCCCCCGGCCTGGTCTATGCTGTTGCGTTCACAAACAGCCGTCATGGACCAGAGGTTCGGAGAAGCAGACAAGGCCTATCACGCCCGGATGCTGGCCTGGAGTACCGAAACAAAGAAACAGGCAGATGATGCAGCAGCAGCAGCGAAAAAGAAGGCAGAGGACGCCGAGCAGGCACGACTGCTGACACTTGAACAACAGCGCCAGCATGACGAGGCATCAGCGAGGGTTGCCGATGAAGAAAGAACTCAACGTCGTGAGAAAATATTTAGCGGAGAGCAGACTTTGCTCACAATGGCAGCGGAATGGCGGACCGAGGCCAAGAATGGCAAGTTGGAGGATAGCGAAAACAAGATCGCTCTCCTCCTCTCCCATCTCACGGACCTCCTGGCAACATGCATTACGCAGCAGGAGGATATCCACAACCTCGACAAATCGCTGGCTCAAGTCCAAGACCGCCTCCGACAGCTGAAGCAGCGACCTGTCGCCGCCCCCGACGCCAGCTCTTCCAACACCTTCGATCGCCTCGAAGTATTGGAGATGGACGTCGACTCCCTCAAGAACGGCGTACAGTTACATCAGACCGCAACGCAATAGTTGCAGCAGCGGATTTGTACTACCGCCAATACCTCGAGTTCGGAACCGCGCGAGACAGCTCCAAAGTTTGACGGGAAGGAGATCTTCTGCGACTCGACGAAGACAAATCTGATTCCATGGTTCCGTAAGTTCGAGCTCACGCTGCAGCTACACAATGTCAAAGAACACAAGCACCATGCGTACTTATACTCCCGCTCGGGGGGCACGTGCCAAGCTTGGTTGGACAACCTCTTGTCCAAGTACGGAGTGGTAGCTAACGACTTGCACACCAAGATCAGCTGGGATGATCTGAAGGCACCGTGGCACAAGCGGTTCCAAGTCGAGCCGCTCGAGATCAAGGCTATGGACAAGCTCATGGTCTTCGAGCAAGGCACGCTGCCGAGTACCGACTGGATCGCCGAGTACCAACGCTTGACGTCAGTCCCAGACATCCAGATGGGCTTCAAAGCCATCCGCCACTATTTCATCTCAAGGTCCTGTCCAACATTAAGCAATGCCTTGACTCACGTCGAGGACACCTTGACGACAACGGCGGAACTGTTTGACAAGGCCGCGCAGATCATTATCACGAACAAGGAGGCCAAGAACCTGCGTTCGTCTGCGTCAGGCCCGAGCAGGGACCAGCATCGGCCAAGAGTGACCGTGGTCGCGGCAGCAACGCCGTTTGACCAAACCAGCGAGGCTGTGTCAGCCAATGAAGGGGACAGACTCGCAGCTGCCCGGGAAGGTGGCTGCCCCGGCAGAGGCCGAGGACGTGGCAAGACGAAGACACACACCGCATCTATCCCCGGGCCCAGCGCAGCAGCTCCAGCCCCATGGTCCCAATATGGCATCTCCGAGCAAGCATTCAAAGCGTGCACGAGATTCCACTATTGCCTTTAGTGCAACAGCGATCTCCATGAGACACTGGTCTGCCCATTGAAAGGCAAGGGCAAACAGGGAAACTGAGCACCGCCGAGAGTGCCTTGACGACACTCTCGACGTCTTCGGAACCGGTCTCTTCGCGAGTGACCAGCCTTCATTCCGAGGCGCATGCGGAAGTCGATAGTCCTCCTCTTCTATATTCTTTTGAGGACTATGCTGCCCGACTCGTTCCTACGCTGGGTACTCAAGCTCAAGGACAAGACGTGTGTGCGGTTTCTTCTCCGTCCGGCAGCGGCAACATATCGTCTTGAAGTGGTTCTTCACGGGAATCGACGCGCGAGTTCAACATAGAGGTATTGGACCCGCTCACGGCCGAGGACTTTGCATGGCTTCCTCTCCCGACCACGGGCCGCTTGCCGGGACCGCAATGCGCAGCACTAAGGGCACATCTCCACATGTACTTATCCTTCTATGCACCACCAACTTCGTCGACGGATGACGAAGTCGCGGTGGGGGACATCCTTGCGTATGTTACCAAGGTGGCCCGCGAGTTTCGCACGTAGCGGTACGATGACAACAACGCACCGCTCATGTATGTCCACATCCAGGTTGGGCAAGCGTCGTGCAGCGCTTTGCTGGATAGCGGCGCGTCTCGCAATTTCATGAGCCAAGCCTTTATGCAAAAGGCTGGCCTTGGCGCACAGGTTCGGAGGAAGGCAAACCCCGACGGCGATCAAGTTGGCGGATGGAAAGACGCAGCAACTTCTCGACCGTTACATCGAGGCCGTACCGGTTTATTTCGCACCTCATGGATGCGAACCGGTGGCGTTCGACATTCTCGACACGGACTTCGACATCATTCTGGGAATGCCTTGGCTTGCGAGTGCGGATCACACGGTCAACTTCCACCGGCGGACTCTTAGCGTTCGTAACGCCTTCGGCGCCGAAGTGGCGTGTACTATTCCTCTACCGCACCCTTCGATTCGGTGCCAAGTGGTGACGGCCAAATCATTCCGGGCGACTTGCGCTTACGAGCAACCCGAGGAAATCAGCCTATGTTTCCTACGGACCGTCGCGGCAGCCGACTCTTCACCCACGGACTTGTCTTCGGACCCCCGCGTGGTGCGATTGCTGGACGAGTTCGCCGACATCTTCGATTCACCTACCGGTGTGGTGTCGGATCGGCCGATCTCTCACGAGATCATTCTTGAGGCCGGTGCTGCCGCCGAAAGGTTGCATCTAGCGGATGAGCGAGGAGGAGCTTGAGGTCCTCCGCGCACAACTCGACGATTTGTTGGCCAAGGGCTGGATCCGCCCTAGTAGCTCCCCATATGGAGCACCAGTTCTCTTCGTCCGGAAGAAGAACAAGGATCTACGATTGCGTATCGACTACCGCAAGCTCAACGCACAAACCGTCAAGAATGCGGGGCCTCTTCCTCGCATCGACGATCTTCTTGAGCGATTGGGCAGCGCAAAGTATTTTTCTAAGTTGGATTTGAAATCAGGATATCATCAAATCTCGATCCGGCCGAACGATCGCTACAAATCCGCGTTTAAGACGCGGTACGGGCATTTTGAGTGGGTGGTCATGCCTTTTGGCCTCACCAACGCCCCGGCGACCTTTCAAGCAGCAATGACCAACGAGTTCCGTGCAATGTTGGACCGGTTCGTGCTGGTCTACTTAGACAATATTCTCGTCTACAGCCGGACATTGGAGGATCATCTTGGGCATCTTCGACGAGTGTTGGAGACGCTTCTCCGCGCCAAGTACAAGGCCAACCGCGACAAGTGCGAATTTGTCCGGCAAGAGATGGAATACTTGGGCCATTTTGTCACACCGGAGGGCATCAGTCCGCTATCGGACAATATTCAAGCCATCCAAGAGTGGTCGGAGCCTCGGAACGTCATGGATGTCCGCTCGTTCCTTGGTCTCGCCAGCTACTATCAGCGTTTTATCAAAGGCTACTCGAAGATCGCGGCCCACTTGACCAAGCTTCAATGCGAGTATCGACCGTTTGACTTCGGAGAGGAGGCGCGGGAATCATTTTTGGCTCTCAAAGCTGCGCTATTGTCTGCGGAGGTCTTGCGGATATACGACCCGCTTTTGCCTACGCGCGTCACTACGGATGCGTCAGGCTATGGCATTGGTGCAGTCCTCGAGCAACATGATGGTGTGGACTGGCACCCGGTCGAGTATTTCAGCAAGAAAGTGCCCATCGTGCATTCCATTGACGATGCACGCAAGAAGGAGCTCCTCGCCTTCGTCCACGAGCTCAAGCGGTGGCGGCACTTTCTCCTTGGTCGAAGTCAATTCCGATGGGTAACGGACAACAATCCGTTGGTCTTCTATAAGACCCAAGACACCGTCAACAGCACCATCGCTCGATGGATGGCTTTCATCGACCAGTTCGACTTCTTTCCCGATCACATTCCGGGGAAGTCGAACCGTTTTGCGGATGCTCTTTCACGACGTCCGGATCATTGTACCACGGTCTACTCAACCTTCGAGATCGACGATGACCTGCGGAACAGCTTCATCCGCGGCTACCAAGCCGACCTCGAGTTTCGCGAATTGCTCCTCTCCTAATCCGGCGCCTTCTCACTACCGGATCCAAGAGGGGTACTTGCTTGTCCACACACGGGGGAAGGACCTTCTTTGCGTACCGAGTGATCCTCACTTGCATACACGGCTTCTTGGCGAGTTCCACGATGCTCCCGCCACCGGACACTTTGGAGTCAATCGCACGATTGGCCGACTTCGCGAGCGATTTTGGTGGCCCGGCCTTCTCGGCGACGTCACGCGCTATTGCAAGTCATGTGAGGTTTGTCGACGCTGCAAATCCCACAACCACCGTCTGTACGGCGAGTTACGACCATTACCCGTCCCATTGAGGCGAAGGGAAGCGATTGCCATGGACATTACTGGCCCGTTCCCCAAGCACAAGACCAGAGTGGATGGGATTCTTACGGTGGTCGACCAACTCACCAAGTTCGCCATGTTTTTGCCTTGTCACTATCATGCCAAGGCACCGGAGTTGGCCGAGGTTCTTTACGCCGGTTGGATTCGAACCAAGGGTTACCCCAAGGAGATCGTCTGCGACCGCGACACTCGGTTCATGTCCGATTTTTGGTTGGCGCTCATCAAGCGATGGGGTTCATCTCTCAAGCCCAGTTCAGCTCGCCACCCCCAAACCGATGGCCAAACAGAGAGGGCGCACCAGACCGCACAGGTTCTCCTTCGCACTCTCATCCGTCCTGACCAGAGGATTGGGTTGAGCGGCTGCCGGATGTCGAGTTGGCCTACAACTCTTCCATCCACCCAGCTATCGGGATATCGCCTTTCGAGTTCAAGCACGGCTCGCCGGTCACTTCGCCATTGGACACTATCACTCCATGAGCGGCCGAGAGCGACGACCATCTTCTTTTCTTACGTCGGATGCAAGAGCTTCTTGTCAAGGCACGCGACCAGATGGCGAAGACGCAGCAGCGCATGAGCCAGCAGGCCAATCGCCAACGTCTTCCTTGCCCATTCCGCGTCGGCGACCTCGTTTGGGTTTCCGCAGCGGAATTCATCCTTGAACAAGACATCTCTCGCAAGCTCCTCCCGAAATGGATGGGGCCTTGGCCGATCGTAGCACCCGCTGGGGACGCACTCGAGGGACCTTCCTTCACGATTCAAGTGCCCGCCAACTTGCCCGTCTACCCAGTCCTTCATTGCTCCAAGTTGGCTCTTTACACGCCAGCAGAACATGACGATTTTCCCGGAAGACGTTCGCAAGACCCACCCTCTATGGACGGATTTCAGGAGGTCGGCGACATCATCTCCCAGCGACGCTACGGCAACAGGCCAACCGAGTATTTGGTCCATTTTGCATACTGCACACATCGAGCTGAGCGTTGCTTGACCCGTGCGGAACTTCAAGCAACAGCTCTGGACGTTCTCGCACGCTACGAACGCAAGATGCAAGGCAAGCCGGTCTCTTCGGCTCCACGCCGCGCCCGCGTCCAGGTTCCACCTTCAAATCGTCGGCTCCGCCCTCGCCCTGGCTTGACTTCATAAGGAGGGGGGGGTGTTACATGCTGCGCCTGCACATGAGGGCCATTTTCCAGGCCCTGCGTCCCTCAGGCTGAAAGCCTGAAATTCAGGCTAAAAGCCTGAAAACCAGGGCCTACAGGCCCCGTGACTGTTCAGCCCRAAAGCCTGAAAACAGGGGCCTACAGTCCCTGTGTCGTTTCAGACTAAAAATGGCAATAGCCTTTTTAGCCTGAAACGAAGGGCCATTTACGGTCGCTCGTCAGAACGACCGGCCCTGAAACTCAGGCACCAAACCAGGGTTTCGGGAACAGGCTATTCTTAGCCTGTTGCCACGCCAGCCTCATCAGATGCTGCAGCGCCAGCCCCTGGCACACTTCGGCATTGGCAAGAGCAGCCTCCTCGGCCTGGCTCGCCCTTCAGGCAGTCAGGAGGCAGGCCG